CCCCCAGCCGGCACCCTTCGCACGCGCCTGAAGGAAACCCGGCTTCATCCCTTCCACTGCTCATGGAACAACTTTTTCCATTTTTGCCTCTGAAAGAGAAAGAGAAGGAGGAAAAAACTTCTTTTTTTTTTTTTTTTTTCTTTCAAAGAAGGGCTCAACTTTCCGTCTTACGGCTCCATCGGCGAAACAAAAGGTAGCGGGGGAAAAAAATCTGCAAAAAGCAGTTTCCAAAAAAAAAAAAAAAAAAAAGCAAAGCCATTCCTTCCCCGCCGGCAGCACCCGTTCCTTTTCTTGGCCCATTCTAAAAACAAACAAGGACACGTACAAAAATAGAAAAATAATAGGGAAAAATCCACGGGAACCTGCAGAAAAAGCCCTGGGAACCTCCCGTTCATGCCAATGACTCAGATTCCCACTACCCTTCCCTGTAAAGAGACAATAAGTGACAAGAATTAGGGGTACCAGGAAGTATTATTAGGTAATTAGGTAATAATTATTAGGTAGCAGGAATTATTGGTAACGCCAAACAGGGCTTCAGATGCCACCGTCGTCAAGAGTGAGCCCGATCCTTTGCTGGCGGAGCTGGATGTCGATGAGGACTTTTCCCCGCCGCGGATTAAATCTGAGTAACCAGTGTCAAAATGATGACCGTGAAGGAATAATTTTAATTGAAAATATTGTGAAAAGCTTCAGCTGGATGGAAAGCAGGCTGGGGGATGGGTTTGGTGCCTGTTGCTCGACTGTCGCCACCCGGTGCAAGCGTCCGCCAAGCAAGACCTGCAGGAAGAGGCAGAGCCGGGCGGCGCAGGGTGACGTACCGATGCCGAGCAAAACCTGCCCGCGGCGTTTCCAGCCCTTCTGGAGACGTCGCTGGTTTTTATCCGGTGTTTTCCTAAGCTCGCAGGTAGATGAAGAGCCACTCCAGGATACGTTTTGGCCTCAAAATCGGGATGTTTATTACTGTTTAGGAAGACAGAGGAGAATTGTCAAGGCTCTTCCCCCCCCCCCCCCCCCCCCCCGTATTTGGCATGAAAAGAGATCAAGACTTCCAGGAAATTCTGTAGCTTTGACTTCTAAAAAAAAAAAAGAAAAATTGGCAAGTGATGGTTCCATAATAACGCCTAATTGCCTTTGGTATTTTGAAAATAGAATGATTAAATGTGCATGTGTAATGCAATCTGCAAATTGGCTACTGAGCGTGAAAGAGGAACTTTTGGGGTTCTCACTATACCCCTGTGCCTAGCCCGACCATGTGATTACCGGGCTCCTGTTAACGAAGGAGGAGATGTCGCATCGTTAACTCTCTGCAGCAGCGCCCGGGACCTTTGCTGCTCGTGCGGCCTGGTCTTGGCGCGGGGTTTGCTGCCTGGGTGTTGTCACCGTCACCCCTCTGTGTCACCCCCAAACAGGGCTCACCATCTCCAGCGCCCGCGGGCTGTCGCCGTGCCGCGTGCCCTCTCGTGCGGTGCTCTTGCTGTGGTGCAACCGTTGCGTTTGGTAAATGCCACCCTCCCGTTTTTGCCAGGGGCAAGCCGCTTTTTTGCTTATCATTTTGGGGTTTATTTTCCTATTTGTAAGAAGGTTTTTCCCTATTTTTAGCAGGAGAGCGTATATCATTAAGGTTTATTTCTCCTCCTTGTCGTTGTAGTAATTGTAGGTGACAAATGCGTCTGAGCTGGTACAGGGCCAAATTCAGCTCTGGCGTAAACAGATCCTTTGAAAGCAAAGAAGTTTCTCTCCGTCCATCCCCACGTTGTAATTCCTTAATTAGAGACACCCCAGCATTGAAAGCCGAGGGCCGGATCCTGACTCTTTAACCCCACTGAGGTCAACGACATCTTGGGGCGACCGTGTTAATTTGTGCAAGGGCGAGTCCTCGTCTTTATGGTCCGGGGGATGTTTCGGGGTGGGGGGGGACGGGACCTGCCCATCTCAGGCAGCTGCCTGTGTTCCCCATTCCCACTCCCAGATCTCAAACTGTCCCGATTGTGTTTTCAGACGTTAAGAAAGAAAGGTTTTAACGGCTGTGACAGCCCGGAGCCCGACGGCGATGACTCGATAGACCAGAGCCCCTTGATGGAGGATAAATACCGGAAAGGCAGCGAGGATCTGGATATCCTGTTCAAGCGATACGGTGTAAGTACCTGCCCCTTGGCCGGAAAACCTTCATTATATGTTCTTTTTTGTTTTGTTTTTCTTCTGTTCGATTTCCCTCCAACCTCGTCCCCTGATCCCTCCCCGACACCCCCTCCCTGTGTCCCACCCCCGAACGTAACAGGCGCTGAACAAGAAGCACAGGGAGTGCGAGAGCCCGGAAGGGGATGAAGTGTTTGCGTTGACCCCGCAGACGGAGGAGAAATATAAAAAGATTGATGAGGAGTTTGATAAAATGATGCAGAGTTACCGGCTCGCAGTGAGTAGCTGGTGGTCTGCAGCCCCCCCCTTGCCCCTCCCCGGATGCCTCCAGGTGACGGGGGGGGGACGGGACTTTGCATGGCTTTGCTTTGGAGCCGTGCTGTGCCTTGGGAGCCGATGCGCGCAGCCCCCCTCAGCCCCGAATGCACCCCGGGTCTGATGGGTGAGATGCACGAGGGGCCTTGAGGGTCCCTCCTGTTTCCCACCCGGAGAAGCAGGAACAACCCTTGGGAAAACCGTTCCCATTAGCTCCGGCATTCCTGAGCCTCCTTGGCTCCAGCCGGGCAGTGCAGGAGGATATTGCTGTTCTCCCCTCCTTTGCTGCAAATACTGGGTTAGGGCCTCCTTCTTCACCCTTTTTCCCCCCAAAAAAAGGATTTTTGCCTGGGTGAAGACCCCAGCATTCGTGCGAGCTGGCGGTGGGTGCCGGCCCCTCACATCCCTGCAAGACTCAGCCCGGTTTGGGCTATTCCGCATTAATTCCCCCCAAATCCACCGAGCCCTCGGGGCAGCTGGTGGCCGTGGCAGAAATCCAGGGAGGTTTTAGCCTGTGATCCCGGAGCCGTCACCGGGGTGGCATCAGGACAGCGCTGAAAGGGATTTGTGTCAGGAGACGGGAGGAGGAGGGGGACACGTTTCAAATTAGTTGTTAGTTCGAGGGAGCAGAGACTATTGATGCAGGCAAGGCTTCTTCAGAGGGATTAGCCCCGAGTCGCTGCAGTCATAATTAATGCTGCCAGGAGCAGAAAGGGGGCTCATTTTCAAGGGCTGGACGCAGCACTGCAAAAATTACACACCCCCCCCCAACAAAATAATCTGTCCTTCTGTGCTTTGCAAGCCCCCACAAGTTAAAATTCTGGCTTCTCTTGAGAATTGGGTCTTGTGAAATCCACGGCTCTTTATTTCGCTGACTCAGCAGGTCAGCACTGCGTCGCTCCGGGAACCTCCCAAGGACCCTAAAATCTGCATCTCCATCCCCTGCATCTCGGGGGGGGGGGGGGGGGGGGGGGGGCGGCCCTGGGCCCCGGGAGAACTG